GGCACCAGTGCCGCGTCGAACCGCAAGCACGCGCAGCGCCCTCTCTCGCTCAGCCTCTCCACCGGGCGGGCCTCTCCAGCGCTATCGTCCGACTCTCACGACGGAGCTGATCATTTCCGGCGCCCGTTCGCCGCAGGTGGCGAGCAGGGTCAGCCCGCCGCTCCTCATCCTAGGAGGCTGGCCACCCTTCGGCGAGCTGTGCTCGATAGCCTCGACCAGGTGGCGATCGGATGCAAGGACGCCAACCTCGAGCTCGAGCAGCTGGCCGATGGCGAAGAGCTGAGTCTGCTCAAGGACATGTACGCCCTCGACGCGTCGCCGGTCGATGCCGGTTCCGAGGGCGACCTGACGCACCAAGAAGACACTTCCATCTCCTCGATCGGGCCGGTGACCGAGCACGACCGGCCGACGGCCTGGGCCGCCACGTTGCCGCGAAGTGCTGCCGCTGCCAGCGCCAGCAAGCGGCCATCCGTCGACCTAGCCCGCACCGGCTCGCTGCGCAGCGACGATGACGGGTGGTCCCGCGGCGTTGTCAGCCCAGTGGGGCGCAAGCGCCTGTCGCTGCTCAGCGACGGGCTCCCAGCGGCGATGGGCGCAACGACGCCAGGACCCCACTATGACCGGGCGGCTGGCGCATCGTCGTCAGCGTCGAAGAGGGAGAGTCTCATCTCAGAGGGCCAGCCAAGCACCTACCGCTCGCCGCGGCTCAGCTACGTGACGGAAAAGTCGGCGACGCCCGGACCCAACGAGTCGGCCGCCTCGAAGCGCCTGAGCTACATCTCTGCCTCTTCCGCTGCCGCCTCGGTCGGGCCCAAGTCGCCCGTCTCGAACGCATCGCCGTTCCGGGCCGGGTCGCCCTTCGGCCTCTACGCCAGCCCTTCGTCGCGCAACGGCGAGGCGAGGAGCAACCGGACGAGCATCGTGGGTCCCAACAGCATCTTCGGTCCGACTGCGCCCCCAGAGGAGGTACTGGACCCTCAGACGCTGCTCGGCCTCAAGAACCGCTTTGAGCGGATGCACCTCGCCAGGCGCAGGGCGCTCTGCCATCTGCTTGCCCTCGAGTTCCCGCAGACAGAGGACGCCATCGGAAAGGAGAAGAAGGCCGCTCTCGACGTGGCGGACTGCTGGGAGCTCCCTTGCCGTCGCATGGCAGATCTCGCCGACCTTTTCGCTCGAGAAGCGCGGGCTGCCATGGCCACGCTCAGCGACGAGATGGGCATGGCATTTGGCACAGCGCTGGCCACGGGCGGCAGCGGCAAGCGGTCGGCTTCCGGAGAGGGTCAGAGCGGCCATCTTGCGCCGCCGTCAGTCAGCGAGGTTGATGGCAGGGCCGCATCGCGCGCCTCGTCTGGTATCACTGGGCATCTTGGACTCGAGGATCGCTTCTCGGCCATGGCCTTGTCCCTGCGCTCGGTCCAGGCCAAGCTGCGCGTCTGCGCCGAGGACATCAACGTCAAGCGGCCATCCGAGCTGCACGGCCTGGAATCAAGCGGAGGCTCTAGCGGCGACGGAGGCGCTGCGCCAGCTACGGCGACCTTGGAGGCCGAGGATTCACCAGCTCTCTCGCAGGTGGATCGCGTTCAGCGCATGTTCGAGAGCATCAAGGACGACTTGCTTGCGCTCTCGGCTGAATGGGAAGCCGGCGTCAAGTTCTTCAAAAAGGAGAAGCGATCGACGCCAAGCCCGGCTCTGTTTGAGGGCGACGAAGATGTGGCTCGCATCAATGCTGCGCGCGATCTCGAGTCTCCAATGGAGGCGGACGAGGATGCTGCCCGCGCCGGCCTGGGCGTCGGCGTCGATGCCGACGGGACTGGGGCGTCCCGCATCGTCTACGAGAGCGGTGGAAAGGTGTCTGGCAGCCGAGCGGCGGGCGCGGGAGCAGAGGATGATGATGATGACGACGACGACATCGCGGCTCTGCTGCTGCGCTCGACGTCGCCCCAGCATCTGCCGCCTCCCGGCCTCGAGCAGGTGTTTGAGAGCATCGCGGGCATGGCGAGCATCGCCGGAATCGGCGGGTCGAAGCTCAGCAGGGACGAGCGCATCCGTCAAGCCAAGCTGCGCCGCGCCGAGGAACAGGAGGAAAAAGCCAAGAAGCAGAGCCACCGCCACACGATCGACCCGGCCGGCATCGTTTCGGAGCTCAACGATGTGATCCGGACGCGCAAGGCCAACGTCGAGCGCAACGCGGCAGCAGCCGGCGGTAGCGTGGACGCAAGCGCCCAGCTCGGCCGGGCCAGCCTCGACGCCAAGCGCTACCGCGAATCGAGCCCGTCTGCCGGTTTGGGCAGCAGTCGAGTCGGCGCGGGACAGGGCTTGGGCTCGCCGCTCGATCTGCGTGCCTCGGCGACCATCACGGGCGTCTTCGAGGGCAACAATGGCGATGGCGGGAGCGCCAACTGGTCGCCCGCGATCGATACCGACGCTGGGTCGTTGTCGACGTCGAGTCGGCGCGCCTCGCGGTACAATGTGGCAAACGAGCGACGCGCCTCGACCCTCTACCGACACCTGCACAGGCGATCCGACGATGCTGCCGATGGCGCGGCTTCGGAGTCGTTTTCGCCGCTCGTCGAGCAGCCATCAAGGGACAGGCTGCCACCGTCGTTGTCGTCGTCGTCGTCGGCCTCGACGTTCCTCCCTGCTTCGACTTCGAACGGGCGCATGAGTCTCGACGCCGTGACTGCACTCAACGGCAGCCCCTCGGCCATGGCCGCCGCTCGGCACGGGGCGGGAGGCGTCGCGGCAGAAGGTGCACGGCCGGCGTCGTTCGCCCAGACGCTCGACCTCGACCTCGAGAGGCACGTAGCCGAGTTTGCGGCAAGGCAGAAGCGACAGGCATCGGCAGTCGGGGCATCCGGGTGATGACCTGTAGCGGGCGCTGGACCGACGGCGAACGGCGCGGCGCAGAGCAGTGCGGCACGGGCTGCATCAGTAATGGGCTGTTAGATGTTTTCCTTCTCTCTTCGCTGTGTAATTCCACCACAATCACTGCGAGTGCGGTCGCCTACTGAGCTGTCGAGGAAGAATCCTGGGGCGGGGCAGTGACGGTCGAAGAACCTGGCTGCATCCACCACGGGGCAATGCCAGAGCTGGCCCCATCGTGCGCTCCAGAACATCGCACTTCCACACGTGCGGAGATGACCCGGCGGCAGAGCAACCTGGCGCATCTCTGGATTCCGACGTGGGTCGCATTCGTAACCTCGCCGGGCGTCAGACATATACAGGTGACGTGCGGCTACGAGGCGTTGCGGGGCGCGATCTCGATGCGCTCGATGCGGATGCGGGTGTAGGGCTGCTTGTGCTCGATGGTCTTCTTGTAGCCCTTCCTCCGCTTCTTTTTGAGGATGCGCTCCATGGCGCCCTTTGTGTGTTCGACGACGACGGCGCGCACCCGTACCGCCGTGGGGTCGAGGGTGGCGCCGATGTGGGCCAGGCCCGCCGGGTGGAGGCGGGTGGCCCACGAGCTGGACACGGCTCGGACCTGGTCTGCGATGCTCGATTGCGTCGTCCCTGCCGCTGCCCCCGCCGCTGCTGGTGGTGGTGCCGCTGCTGTCGCTGATGATGTTGGTTGCGTCGCGTGCGAGGACGAGGACGAGATGTACGAGTTGGGGCCGGTGAGGACCGACCTGCGCATCAATGCGCTGGGGCCGCGGGAACGGCAGTGCATAGGATCCTGGGCGCGGAGGGTGTAGTCGCGCGAGCCGACCTCGTGGATCCGGTCGAGCTCGAGGACGTCTCCGACCTCTACGTCCTTGAGGCGGGGCACGGTGACGAGGTCGCTGGCGGCGAGGAGGAAGGTGCGGCCGGTGATGGACGCCACAACATAGTGGTTGGGCTGAGTGCGCAGCAGCTCGAGGGCCTCTGCCGTCGCGCTGATGGGTTCGCTCGGAAGCGGGCCCGACGAGAGAGAGGGGCCGGTGGACGTAGACGACGAGGCGATCGCAGTCTGCGAGGATGGGCCTGCAGATGGCGCGGCAAAGGCGCCAGAGGTGCTCAGGTAGCGAGGTGCGGCGACGCCCGCCAGGACGCCGTCGAGGCGCGACTTGCCCTTGAGGCTGTGCGAGAAGGCCGTGCGAAGACCTGGCGAGGCGAGGTGGAGTGTGGCAAGGCGATCAGGGCCGTCCGGTCAGCAAGAGGCGCGCCGCCATCTCCAGGCCGTACCGGTGCGCTCGGGCCCTACTCACTGTTCATGCTGGCCATGGCGAGAAGGTGGTTTGCGGGAGGATACGGACGAGCAACGACGATGTGACAAAGGCGGCCGGGGGATGATGGCGAGCGTTTCTTCCTGCAGGGCGGGCCCCTCAGCGGAAAAAGGGTCGGGGTCGTGGAGCCCGGCCCCGTGCTGCTCAGACTCGCACGAGACAGACGGATGAAGGCATGTCGAGGTGATCGACACCTCCGGAGGGTGGGGTGCGGCAGGCTGCGGCGTCAGACCTGTGTGCGGCCCTTGCCCGGGACTTGGAGGCCCAGCCTGAGCCTGCCTCCGATCGGTCGCGAAGAAAAAGCAAGACGACGGACGAGCTCGGGTGCCGCTCGACGGCCGCTTGGAGCGACTCGAGGTTGGATTTGCCCTCGATCGTCATGTTGAATTGAGCGGCGCGGGGTCTGTATTTGACCGCCAGTCCGAATTGTATTGGCACCTCGACGGCATCTGGCTCAGAGGCGATCCGCCTGTGGCCGCCCAGTCAGGATTCGCAATTTTCTTCTTGGCTGGGACGACCTGGCTGGGCTTGGGCTGGCAGGGCCTGAGCTTGGCTGGCCCGGGGGGCGGTTGGGGCGAGCGAGGGGAGCGAGATCGCACAACCGCCCTGCCCGCCCACCCGCCCGCCCAGGTCCGGTCGGGCCCTCTGCTGTCCGCCCGTCTGTCCGTCCGCCCGTGGGCGCGCGCACGCTCACTCGCCGCCTTGGCTGGCCCGTTTGGAAGACGGCGGGCGGCCGAGGAAGAGGAGAGGCTAGGCAGGGCGACAGATCAGAGCGACCCAAGGCCAGGCCCGCCCGCCCCGTCTCTCCCCTCTTTCCTCCCGCCTCTCGAGTCTTCCCCACCCACACCACCCCCCATCACCACTCACCCCCGTCCTCCCTCTCCCTATCCCAACATCGTACCAACCGCCGCGATGCTCGCTCGTTCCGCCGGCATTGCCACCGCCAACCTCGCCCGTTCGGCCGCCGTCCCCGTGGTACGTTTCCTCGGCACGACCTCGACCTTTTCTCTGTGCGCGCTCGTCGCAAGGGGTGCCATCGAAGGGGCGCAGCCAGCATGACAGATGGTCGCGGCACGGCAGGCCGGAGGGGGTCACGCTCCCCTAATTGGCCGCCTGGCCTCCTCCTGTCATCGCTGCGGCCGTCTGTCGATCATCGCACCATCATCGTCGGAGCGGCAGCAGCCAGAGAGCAGGGGCGGTCGCAGCAGCAGCACCCCGAGCAGCCATCCTCTTGGTTGGACATAGGAGCATGGGACCGGTGATCCTAGCGAGCCTCCGAGCAGCCGCCAAACCTCGTCAGGGCGTGGCATCTGCCCTCGTCGGCCACGATCCGGACGGCGTCATGCCTGTGCCGACACGGGGATGGTCGCGATTGCCAACCCATCGCTTGGCATGCACCGTGTCCTGCCTGCTGGCCTGTGCTGGCGAGGCGTCTGACGCAGCTCGTCCAATCGTGCTCTGCTGCTGCTTGCTGTCTGCCGTCTCTGCCACCGCTCCGATACTATCTGCGAAGGTCAAAGGGCGCCGTCGACCTGCTGCCCTCGCCATCTCTGCAGAGGTCGACCCTTTGCTGACCTCGTCCACACCGTCCCCTCTTTGCAACGACAGGCGCGCCGTTCGGTTGCCAACGCCGTCCGCACCTACGCCACTGCCAAGCCCGGTGAGCATCGCTTTCTCGCTTTTATCGTCTTGAGAACGCAGCGAAGCGAGGGAAAATCCCCTCGCGTATCGATCCCCTCTCGGCATAGCCGCTGACCATCTCGTTTCCCCCTCTGTCATCGATAACCCTCCTGAACGCCTCGCAGCTGCCTCCGAGGTCAGCTCCATCCTTGAGCAGCGCATCTCGGGTGCCTCCGCCGGCGGTGATGTCCAGGAGACTGGCCGTGTCCTCAGTGAGTGTCCTCAGTCGCACGTAGGGTGGCCGATGGCAAGACGCTCGTTGCCGATTACCTTGTTTCCGCCTGCGATGACCCAGACGACGCTGACAGCTGCTTTTTCCGCCCTTGCCTCTCACTCGCGTGTCGCGCTCGTCTACAGCCATTGGTGACGGTATCGCCCGTGTCTACGGTCTCCGCAACGTCATGGCCGAGGAGATGGTTGAGTTCTCGTCGGGTGTCCGCGGCATGTGCCTCAACCTCGAGGCCGACAACGTCGGTGTCTCGATCTTCGGTTCCGACCGTCTGATCAAGGAGGGCGACACCGTCAAGCGAACCGGCCAGATCGTCGACGTCCCCGTCGGCCCCAAGATGCTCGGCCGTGTCGTTGACGCGCTCGGCAACCCCATCGACGGCAAGGGCCCCATCGAGGCCGCTGAGCGCCGCCGTACCTCGACCAAGGCGCCCGGTATTCTGCCCCGCCAGTCGGTCAACCAGCCCATGCAGACCGGCATCAAGCCCATCGACGCCATGGTCCCCATTGGACGTGGCCAGCGTGAGCTGATCATTGGCGACCGTCAGACCGGCAAGACCGCCGTCGCCATCGACACCATCCTCAACCAGAAGCGTTGGAACGATGGCCAGGACGAGGACAAGAAGCTCTACTGTGTCTACGTCGCCGTCGGCCAGAAGCGCTCCACCATCGCCCAGCTGGTCAAGACGCTCGAGGAGAACGACGCTATGAAGTACACCATCATTGTCGCCGCCACCGCCTCCGAGGCCGCCCCGCTCCAGTACCTCGCCCCCTTCTCGGGTGCCTCGATCGGCGAGTGGTTCCGTGACAACGGCAAGCACGCCCTCATCATCTACGACGACCTGTCCAAGCAGGCCGTCGCCTACCGTCAGATGTCGCTCCTCCTCCGACGACCCCCCGGCCGTGAGGCCTACCCCGGTGACGTCTTCTACCTCCACTCGCGTCTCCTCGAGCGTGCCGCCAAGATGAACAAGACCCACGGCGGCGGATCGCTCACCGCCCTCCCCGTCATCGAGACCCAGGGTGGTGACGTGTCGGCCTTCATTCCCACCAACGTCATCTCGATTACCGACGGCCAGGTCTACCTCGAGTCCGAGCTCTTCTTCAAGGGTATCCGTCCCGCCATCAACGTCGGTCTCTCGGTCTCGCGTGTCGGCTCCGCCGCCCAGTCCAAGCTCTACAAGTCGGTTTCGGGCTCGCTCAAGCTCTCGCTCGCCCAGTACCGTGAGCTGGCCGCCTTTGCCCAGTTCGGCTCCGACCTGGACCCCGCCACCCGCGCCACCCTCAACCGTGGTACCCGCCTGGTCGAGCTGCTCAAGCAGCCCCAGTTCGTGCCCATGGCCACCGAGGTCCAGATCCCCATCATCTACGCCGGTGTCAACGGCCTCGTCGACGAGGTTCCCCCGGAGCGCATCGTCGAGTGGGAGAACTCGTTCCGCGAGAAGCTCTCCACCGAGGACGCCCTCCTCGCCGAGATCTCCAAGGGTCAGCCCAACGACGAGCTCTTCTCCAAGATGAAGAGCCTCATTCAGGACCACGTCAAGGGCTTCCTCTCGGCCTAAGCGCGGCGTCCCTGCCCTAGTCCGCGTCGTCGCTGTCGTAGCCGGCAGCAGCGTTACCGTCGCCTCGAGGGTCCTGCTTTCCCCCTCCCCTCGTCTGCGGCGGCTTGAAAAGCCAGACGTCGTCCCAAGTGCATAGTCTTTTTTCTGGTGTCGGGCGGTGCGGCTGATGCTTGCTCCGCGAGGCGCCCGCCGTCGCGTCTGTCGTCTGCCTGGCGTGACAGGGTGGCAGCGGTGCGTGTCCGCAGGCATTCGTCGTTGCCGCTCGGCATTGTTCAAAGTCGAAATACATACAGATCGAATCCTTCCTCTGCGCTTGTCGATCTGCCTGTCTGCTCCCCGTCTCCCTCTCTCTCGGTCCTCTCTTTCTTGGATGTGCGGCGGGTTGCTGCGCTTTGCTCGGGGCGAGGCTGTGCTAGCCGGGGGAACCGGGGAATTGACCAGCTGGTCCCATGCGTGCGCTCAAAGCATCGAGGGAGCTGCTATCGACCAGAGCGTTGCAGAGTCTACCCCCTTCTCTCTTCGCTACCGGTGAGAGCAGCCACAGAAGAGAGGACGACAGCTGTGTAGGGCAAGCGTCCGCCCGTCCGCGCCGGCACTCTGGCGGCCCTCGCTCGGACGCGCGACGTCCATCCCGAGAAGAATAAGCAGCCCTCCCAAACTTCCCACTTCATACTTTGTTTGTTTCAGCTCCTCAACAACACCACCGAGCTTAGCTCAGATGGAAGAGCGATGGTTTGTAAGCGGAGCAGCCCTTGAACGGGCTCTAGATTGACCACCATAGGTCGCCAGTTCGATTCTGGCAGCTCGGATTAGCTTTTTTGCATGGTCTTTTTCGGCTCAGCTGACCCCTGCCACCCACCGGGTGGGCTGGCTGGCTGGCTGGCCTGCCAAGCTTTGCTCAGTTTCAGGGCGGTGAGGCTTGCTGTGCTTGCTGCAGCAGGTAGGTAGAGGGAGAGTGGCAGTTGAGTCTGTGGTTCAAGCAAGCTGATGGTGACATGCTTGGCCAAGTTCTGAAGTGGGCAAGGTGTGGGAACAAGACTGTTGCACCCACCAGCTGGACCACCAACTGGCAGGTCCAGCTGACAGGTCTATGTAGGGCCCTCCAGGCAACTTGGAACCACACTGCTGGGTCAATCAATGGTGGCCAGCTCTTCATCTGCCTTGTGGCCCATAGTGGCAGGGTCTGCAGCCACAGTCAGGAGATCCTCTGGGCGCAGCAGGGTGCCAAATCTGGCTCAGTCCTGGATGTGGCTGTCAACAGCTTCCTCACCCTGCAGCTTGACGTTCTGCTGAGGACAAGTTTGCATGTACTTGTGTGACCTGTACCATTCAGCATCCACCATCCACAGCTCTACATCAGGAGCAGAAAGATGCTGTTGCTGGATGTTGTTGGTAGTCTGTAGCTCCTCAACATCACTGGTGAGGGTTTTGATGGTGCTGAGCAGGTCAAGATTGTTGGCCTCAAGGTTCTCAATGCGGTTGTGCAGGTCCTGGATCGAGCCAAGGATCAGGTCAAGATCTTCCTGGGTTAAGTGCACAGCCATAGTGGTAGTGCAGGCATGCAGTGGGGTGACGGGGATGGTAGTCCTTGTTGCAGTAGCAATAGGCCCACTGTCCTGTGGTAAAAACCAGGAGGGGGGGGGGGGGGGTGTCACAAAAAACGAGCGCCTCCACTACACATTACTTTACCCGTTACCCCCCTTCCCTTCCCTTCCTTCCCTACCGTCCTACCTTACCTTACCGTACCGTCCCTCCCGTCCCTTCCGTTCGTAACTACTCGT